ATGTATATACCAAATTTTATCTGTCCATCCATTGGTGGATAACTTGGGTGGCTTCCACCTTTTAGCTATTATGAATAATGCCACTATGAAAATGGAAGCACAAACATCTGTTTGAGAACCTGATTTTAATTCCTTTGTGAATGTAATTAAGGAGTGCTGGGTCATACCATAATTCCATTTTTAATTTATTGAGAAATTGCTATACTTGTTTCCAGAGTGGCTGCACCATCTTACATTCTCAACAACAACAGTGTACAGAAGTTCCATTTTCTTCATATCCTAGCTCACACTTGTTACTTGCTGCTTTTTTAATAGTGGTCATTCTAATAAGGATGAGGTGATAGCTTGTTGTAATTTTGATTTGCATTTCCTTAAAGATTGGTGATATTGAGAATCTTTTCATATATTTGTTCATCATTTGTACATCTTTTCTGGAGTATGTATATTCAAGTCTTTGGTGCAAAGAGACACTTTGAATCCATCATTTTCTTTCTCTGTATACATAAAAATCTTAGCAGCATAAATAAAAAGCCATTTTCTTTGGTGTTTAGCTACACTATCACCATTTATCTCAGCTGTGATAATGATAAAATAATAACTAAAACTTGCATCCATTATGATCCAGGCACTATTCTAAGTGCTTTACATATAATAACTTACTTAATTCCCAAAGCATCTACATGGGTGTGTACTATTACTAGCCTTTGTTTTCAGAAGACATAGAGGTACAAAGAAATAAGTGACTTATCCAAAGTTACATAGCTGCTAAGAAGTAGAGTCAGTACTGGTATTCAGGAGGCTGGCTTTGGAAACTGTGCACTTAACTACAGCGTTATTTTGCCTCTCTGCCACCCATTTAATCTTTTTAAAGCATCATTTACATCTTCTTTTGTGAGTCTTCCTGGACACCTCTTCTGTATAAGATTATATTGCATATTTCAGAAAATGAAATGCAACATGCTCACATTAGAAGAAGAAATTCATTGTCTGATTAATTGCCATCAATTATGTCAATGCTTGAGGTTGATTCAGACATCAGAGACCCTCATTTTTCCAATCCAGCAAATAATCGGAAATAACGATAGTATCTAAAGTTTATAGCTATAAAAGGAAAAAATAAATATGAAGTATTGTAGCAAGTTTATGCTAGAATTTAAGTTTTATAGAAAGTAAAGAGAAGAATAGAAAAGAAAAAATAATGCTCTTCAGTCCCTAGTCAGAGCCTAAGGAAATGTGGTTAGAAGTTTAAAGGATAAATTATCCATGCTGCCAGTCAGAACTCTCGTCACCATAAACATTTGCTCTTTCATGTCTAAGTTCTTTGGTGATATTCTAGTTTTGTAGTTTTAAGAAATAATCATAAGGTCTTTATCATAACTACTTCCCCTCTTAAAAGAAAGCTAAAGCTTTAAGCCAGTTTATTTAAGTAAGTACCAAGCAGTTCTCCAGGTTTCCTTATTTTCTCTTCAGCACATTCTCACTGAACAGGCAAAGCATCAAAGACAATATACTAAATGTATCTTAAAGTTTTAGTGTCTGCAGAAAATGATCAAGGTAGGACATTTTTGCATTTTATTTTAGAGATGTCATACTTTATGTAGTGATGAAAACTACACAACTTGGAAGCTTTCAATAGACAATGGGAAGGTGATTTAGGATCATCTAAAGGGCCCAGGATGAGTAGGAGAGGAAAGACGCAAGTTCGACAGCCATTTTAGCCATTAGATTGGGGTATTGACCATAATGCTTTTCTTTGCCTCAATTTCTTCACCAGAAAAATGACAAAAAAA